CTTTAAACTTATACAGCCTGCATAGGAGGTTTATGTTGGATACCTCTTGCAGCGTACTACTACCACGACAACCACGACTACCATTACGACTAATTACTACTTCTACTACTACTACTACTACTGCTGCTGCTACTACTACTCCTACTACTACTACTACTACTACTACTACTACTACTACTACTACTACTACAACAACAACAACAACAACAACAACAACAACAACAACAACAACAACAACAACAACAACAACAACAACAACAACAACAACAACAACAACAACAACAACAACAAACAACAACAACAACAACAACAACAACAACAACAACAACAACAACAACAACAACAACAACAACAACAACAACAACAACAACAACAACTACTACTACTACTACTACTACTACCACCACTTCTACGACGACGACGAACATCCTCTCCTGTTCACGCCTTGCACCACGGCTATAACTAATTAGTTGAACGATTGCCCGCAGAAACAAGCTTTGTCGTCCACAACCATTATTTTTTGTGCTTGTCAACTTTCTAAGGAGCTTTTTCATACTGTTGCAAGGACTGCTGTCCACAATGTATCACCATCTATGGTGTGGAGCTTGCGGTACACTCTTTGGGGCACACAACAGTCCTTGAACCAACTTGAAGACATGAGGCTGGAGTTGTGGCTCTGTTGTCGGTCGACTATCAAAGCATGGGACGGGACACCTGCAAAACTGACACCAACATACAGAAAAGCTTTCTGCCTAAAAATTATGATCCAAGTGGCTGTCTCGAAGCTGCATTTCAAGTGCACATCCTTGTCAGCATCCGGTGGCAAAGCCTCTGGCTCTTGTGGCGACATGGCGGGCCAAAGCGTAATCAGTCCGTGGCTTCTTGTGTTTGGTTAGTTTGCCAATGCTCCGCCTGCGACCACAGTTCAACGCAGATGTCAGATGTCTGTGTCCTTCTTTGCGCTACACGCTAGATATGCGTTTCTTGGCCAGTCAAGCCAATTATTTCTCTGGGCTTCACTCTGTGCCAGGATCCATGAGGGCTGGGGTCGCGGAGCCTTAATGGTGTGGCTTAGTCTGTTCAAAGCAATCAGGTCAACTGTAAGAAGGGTCAGTTCTTTGCACCATGGCACATTGCATGGTCTGTGCTGCGACTCTCTATTTGAGTTTAGAGCTGCGGGAGCTGTGCAATGCGCCGATCTCCGTCACAAGCGCTCAATACTTGCGGACTGGCTGCAAAGACACCAAAATAGTCACACATGCTATTCTGAACTGCGAAACAGCGCCTCTCTCATTCTCCAACTATCTCCAGGCGAGGAACGCAAAAAAAAAAAAAACACTGAAGGGATCAGCATGGGAGGTTCGGAGACCGTTCACGTGCGGGACAGGGTCTTTGGACAAATGGATTCCATGTCTTTGCTCCCAGCCAAATGTCCAACATCCCCAAGGCGACAAGTCCCATGTAAACGTATCTAAACGTATCTGGAATACAACTTGGAAGTCAGATCTTTGGGACTTTGACCAACCAACAAGTGCCAAAGTGATCCTTGGAGAACCGGCCTATTCATCTAGCTTGGCTGAGACCCGTTGCAGCAATGCGAGGAAGCTGAATATAGAAAGAGATTCGGACTAGATTCGCGGCAAACCCTCAAGAAACGTGGAGCGTAGCATAGTCGATGTCAACTGATGTCCCGTCCAACCAGGGGTCGGACATTCATTGGCTCCAAGACCATTGCTACCAAAATAGTCGGCACCTCAGTGGGCTCCGCCCAGCCTGTCAGGTACGGGACATCCGCCTCATTGAGTGCACCTGGCGACACAGATGGCAATTCCGCAGGTGACTCAGCGCAGGGAAATCGTTTGAACTTGGCGCCCAATGATTCCAAGGTGTTGCGGTAAAGAATTAAGCTTTTGGGGCCGTGACTTGAGATGGGTCAAAACTGCCAAGCCAAAAGTTCGGTTTAGCAGATACAACACTTAGATCGAGAGAGAGAGGCATGTCACACTGTCAACAGAAACCAGTTTAAATGTTTCTGGTTGGCCCGTGTTCGAACTGCTGCACTCACTCAACCTGTACCCAGTGTCCCAGCTACACTGGCCTTGAGCCCGATTCAGCGTGCTGCAACAATATGTCAGATGGCTCGTTGGCAAGACCAGGTCACAAGCAAATAGAGCGAAGAGTCGGTTGGATTGCACATTTAACATGAGGACAATGCAAACACCGGGAAATCATGCACCACCAGCGCTACGCCAGCATAAAAACAAAGCGGTCATCCTTGGCACACCGAACACTCAGACATGAAAGTATGACGCACAACACATCAACAGCGTAACAAGCAAAACACACCACACAATTCAGCCAAGTCGTTCCATCGACCAACACCTTGCCTGCTCATGCCCCCGCGTCTCCCCGATGCAAGACTCCTGCGCTTCGTGGCTAGGGGCGAGGTGCATTCTCTCTCCCGACATCAAACCAGTAAAGCCCCACCTGCTGAAAGCGATCAGAGTGTTCACAATTGCGCTGCGACGGGCTTTGTGACACTGGAATCCACTTTTCGCAGGTCCCGGAAAGCGGGTAGAGAGTGAATCCGTGGCAAGGAGCAGATCCTTTTGCCATAGTGTCTCACAACAGGGGTACCTTATGCAAAAATGGGTGGGCTTCCTTTTGGTTTCCCTTTCAAAACCAACCCCAAGAAGAGTACCCTCAAAAAAGACAGACCCACATGCCCATATGCACCTCAGCTTGGACCGGAACCCAATTCGTGCAGCGCGAAACACTTGTGACTAAACTGTCCCAAGAAACAAATTAAGGGAGACAAGTAACATACTGAAGCAACTCTTGGCTTCATTTCAGAACGCCTATGCAGTTCACGGAGTACTGCTATGTTCATGGTTGCTGTTGATGTCCACACCCACTGTCTCATCTCTCGGTAGCTAGGCTCTTCCCCTCGTCAGAGACTTTGAGATTGTAAGCCGAATTGGGTGCTTGGGGCTGACCGAAATCCCACCGGTCAGTTTGCTAGGCAAGCCCAACTATGAACAAAAACAAAGTATCCCAGTGGAGCCACTAGTGCCTCCATTCTCGGCCCAAAGGTCCCTAACGTGATCTGTCTTTGCGAAAACTGGAAACCCGCGCTTGGTTCATCTAATACGCAAACATTACACATGACACCCCAGTGGCGGTTTGGTTTTCACCCGTATCCCAATTCCAAGCACAGCTCCAGTGTTTTGAAGCCACTGCCGACACGCACCATGAGCTTTCCTCGGGCGAATCCAGCACATGGGGCTGTCATGGGGCTGTCTTAAAATAGGGGACCCCCTGAATGGTGTGTTGTTGTTTCCCTTTATCATAAATTAGACCACCACACAAGCAATACACACCCATCATGTGGCAACCTTGTTCGGCCCTTCTCGACGTGGAATTTGGAGATGATGCGGCATGCACTACCGTAGGACATTGGCAGTATGAGTATATATTCGTACACATATAGTTATGTACTCAAGCAAGGTGAGCAATCCCGGAGGCCACAGGGGCGTGAGCGGATCCCCCTGTCTGCGCAGCTAGGGTGGTCGGGGGGGGGGGGGAAACCACTTGCTTTGAGGTGGCCCTCGTGCTTCACGACCGAGATCAACCGGTCAACGCCTGGCACTTGGATCGGAAGATCAGCCACGACACATCGGCGTTCGGATGACTTTGGGTTGCATAACCCGGTAGCTACGAAGATCCTCCATGGCACATCGCACATACGCTATCAACAAACAGTCTGAGTTTGGATTTTTTGCTGTCCTGCTTTCGGATGCCTTTGGCTGATTGTATGACTCCATTCTAGCTGCAAACTTCCTCTCACACAGTATTATTGGCAAGTATGCTTTTGGGGGTTATACCAATCAGCCATTTTCGGCTACACGGCCAAAACGCTACGTGACGCGACCCATGAACTCAGACTGAACCTCCCTTTTTGTTTACCCTGGGCCAAGATGCCGTTGTGCAACGCCATCAGCAACTTCTTGTTGCCGTAGAGGTAGACCTCAGCACAGGGCTTGCCGCGGGGCGTGCGAATCATTCAGAAGCAACACCTCCAACTGACCACAAGTCAGTCTTGCTTTGTCTCCCCTTAGAAAAACCATTCTAGGTTTTGTAGACCTTCCTGAGCCACGTTCCCAGGTTCAATGGCTTCATCTCGTTTCCCTTTGCAAAGTTAAACGAAGGGGGTGCTCTTTGTTCCTGATTCGGTGAGCTAGTTTCAATGCGCCTGGGCTTGATTTAGTGCGGAAATCTCCACCAGGCAACAGCTCTGAAACGCATACAGGACGAAATAGCCCAACAAAGGCCCTAGCGAGGACCATTGTGGGTTCAAGCATCTTTTCGTTCCACACATGTGAAGTCAGTGCAAACAAGTTGCAAGCCGCCCTGATGTCCTACCGTTGGCCAAACGACATAGCCCAAATGAAAATCCACGCTCATCGTAAGAATCGCAACCTTCTGTATGTATGGGCAGGCATTTCCCGACTCCCTGTTTAAACGAAGGCATCTCTGGCCATGGAGGAAGGGAACAGGTTGTGTGCTTTGTTGTTTGCCTTTTCCCGACTGTTCACTTGCAATGGGAAGTAGCTAACAAAAGGAAAGGTTGTCACTGAAAGGCTGCGGGTTGGAAGGGGCCTGAACGATCTTGGCTTCCAGTTGAATGGGTCATCACTGAAATTACCCGACGCAACAGCACCTGAAGACATGAGTAGCGTTCTTTCGACGGAATCAAGCATGGGTGATCACTGAGTCGGACGTTTCGGGAACAGGTTTTTCTTGAAATACATATCAGGGTGTGTTTGTTTCTTGGGACGCCCCTAAATGGTTATATTCCAGTTGGCATCCCTTTGAAACTACGAAAAACAGGACCCTCAAAGGACGAGGTTCAATCCACCGGACGTTGCGCTCAACATCCCCAACCTCTTGGGCCCCAACGCCTCTGGAGACACGGGACAGTGGAAAACGCAGCGGTTGTTGCGCGCAGAACCTGGAAAAGCAACGGCTGCACCAAAGGCCGATTCTCGCATCCCCGTGAAAAAGAACCTGGGCCAGGCCAAAAAGGGCTCAACCCTGCAAAGGACAAACATTGCACAGCCTGCAAATATGCGTGCTTTTCCAAGGTTTGTTTGTTCAACCTTCAAACAAACCATGCGCAACTCACTCATGCGCACGAAAGGTACCATCGCCAGCTATTAGTCGTTCGAGCTCTCTTCAGGCTGTTTGCCCAAGCAGGTCTTTGCCTTTCTGAAAACCATCCTCATGAAGCACGATCCGTCGCGTCAAAGTCGGGGCAACTGCAAGTCCAACAGAGTCCAACAGAGTACACAAATACAATTCACGTCTCGTCTGTATCAAACACGCGCCAGCTTGGCCCTAGGACTGCCCAGTCTCAGTCCAAGTTGGCCCTGAGGCCCGCCCAGCTACTTAGTTCAGTGCGGGCCTGAATCGTCCTAGGGTGAAACTATTTCGCGTTTGGAAGAACAATGTGGGGGTGTCGACTGACTTAGTCCAGGACCATCGCGACATCTACTTTTAGTCACTATCTACTGACTATCGCGACACCTGGCGCAAAAAACACTTCCTTTGCTGAAATACTGGCGACGGTGCCGGTGGCGTTGACCACATTATCTACAAACGATCGCGACTTCTACTTTTAGCAAGCGGAAGAAACACTTCCCACACAAAAACGATGGTGATGCTGAGTATGCTCAGCCTTGGTCTGCGGTGATGCTGAGGGTGTCCGCCAACTTGGTCTGCGGTCGATCGTGACATCTACTTTTTGCAAGCGGGAAGCCACTTCCTTTACTGAAACACTGGTTATGCTGGGGATGTGTGGCGTCGGCGTCGACCACTTTGTCTAACAAACTATAGCAAAATATACTTCTACTCAGCCCCCCGCCCCCTCCCCCGCTGTGGCATGGTGGGCGGGGCTGGTTGGAGTTGGGTTAGGGGTTCTAGGGTTGGTTTGAGTGTTGGCTCAGGATGGTTTAGGGTTGGTTTACGTTGGGCTTGCGGCTGGCTTGGACATTCTGGAAGGGTTGATTCGGGACGCGTTTTGGGAATGACCTGCCCGCTCTGTGGAGTTTTAGGGCTTGCTTCCGTTTGGCTTGGTCTTACTTGCTTAGCTTGTTTATCATCAAGGGAAGCTTAGAAGGGACTTCCGTGGTGCGGACACCAATTGAAAGCTTGCTCTCTGGCAGGAGACAAAAGAAGAATACGCACGCATGAGAAAATGCGCGCACGCGCGCGTTGCAGGGAATGGACATGTCCAAAGAGTGCTGCCTCTGCGGGTTTCAGTTCCTTCGGATGCTCGAAAGTTAGCCTGATGGCTACGCCTGGTTGGAGCACTCTTGGAGGGAGCTCGGAGTGCGGGGGCTCGGGGGGGGGGGGGGTAGGAGGGCGGAGGACGGACCACACTTTGACCCAGTCACTTGGACCATCGTGCATCTTCAGATCTTGAGCTCACCGAAGTCTGAATAAGCTCGCAAGAAACAAGGATGAACCCGAGGAAGTTTCAACCAAACGATGGGAGAGAGGGAGAAAATGGCAATTGAACCTTCGGGCCCAGATCAGGCTTTCCGCGATCCAATTCATCATTGTGACTTGATCACTTGAAGAGGATTCCCTTTACTATTCAGAAAAGTAGCACTAAACCCGACCTTCACCGTTTGCACGGCGACCTACCCCTACCACCGCACCCGACCCCACCAACCTACCCCCAACTCACCCGGAACCACGCCACCGCTTTCTCTTTCGAGCCCACCGTGCCTTTGGACCGCATCGTGCAGCACGTCGTGGTCCTCTGCTGCTGGCCTGGAGCGGGTCTTCTCGATTCCCGAAAGGTCCCCTTACGTCACTAGAGGAAACTCCTTCGAACTTGACCCAACAAAATAAGACTGACTAAAACAAGCAAACATGGGGAATACAGTCGACAAACGAAAGCCGTTTCGCACCAGTTGCGATACAAATAGGTGGCTTATCCCAGTCAAAGGGCTTCATCTCTTCCAACTGACGAAGGACTTTGTCCATCTCGTATGGGGAGCCCCTGTCGTAAATAGGTATTTGTCGAAACTGGGCGGATCCTACAAATGGGTGGCGTCCTTCCGGTTTCCAGCCTGAAAAGGGTACCCTGAAAAGACTCACGCCCAAAACATGTAGCCATGGCTGAAACCGACGCCTGGCAAGGGCGCTGGCACTGGAGCTGGCGCCTGGTGCAGTCTGCGCGCGTCAGCTCATTTTGCTGAACGCGTCCGGAGATTTGAACTTAACAAACGAACCAGGTGGGTTGTGTGTAATAAAGGCTTGGCTAACAACTGATTTCTCTTTTGCACACATCCGTTTTCTCCGGAGAAAAACCACCTGAAAAAAGCCTAACCTTCTGGGTGGCCGGTTGGCCCCAATTCCCACCTCAATAGGGTGAAGCCTGTGCAAAATGGATCCCCAGCAAAAACAACCGATCAGTTGGAGTGATGTGTCGCGGCCGAGCTTCCTTCATTTCAGCATAGAAATACGACCACAACAAATAGTAAGTTTGGCAGACAAAACCGATGGATTGTCATTTGAGCAACAGAACGTCTCCACCCGGAAAGGGAATGCCTCAAAATTAATCAGGAAACGATTTATGTGACGTCCCATTGAGGCACCAGAGCCGTGATTCATTTGGGCCCATTGGCATGACTGCGCGCGCTGTTTCACAACCTTCAATCGCAGAACCCTCTGCACACTTTGGGTTGGTGGACCCTCAAAGACTCGTGCTATTGTACAATGTTCGCTTCGCTCGCGCAACCCTCTGCGGGCTTTCCGCGGGTTGACCCGAAAAACTCGGGTGTTGTGCACTGTTCACTTTCGCTGGCTGGAGGGAGAGAGAGAGAGCGAGAAAGATAACGAGACAGAGACCGAGAAAGAGACGGAGAAAAGGAAACAAAAAGAAGAAAGAGAAAGCGAGAGACACAAGCAAGAAGAAAGATCAAAATAAAGAGAAGCATAAAGACAAGGAGACAGAGGCAGAGACAAAGACAGAGAAGGAGGAATAGAAAGACGATGATGAAGGTGCAGAGAGCAAGAGATAGAGAGAGAGAAAGAGAAAGAGAAAGAGAACGAGACAACAAAAAACAATGCAAAGAAAGAACCAAAGAAAAGGAGCGAGAGAGACAAGGGGAAAGGACGTGTGCTCCAAATTATAGTTCTTATATTGTGAAACCTTCCATCCGCAGACTTTGCTGGTATATCATATAATGTTGACCCTATATTCATAGACCATTGCTTATCAATGTGGGGGTGTCCCTGGTCTTAGTGGGCATTATCACTTTGGATGGGGAACACCCTCCATATTTCTACAGGGGAGGGAGCATGATATACCTATGGGTGTGGCTCAAAACTTAAGAGCTGGGGTTACACAGGGTTTGGTCTTTGTTTTCCATTTCCCTAGGGCCCATCTTGGGTACATCTTTTTGAGCCACAGTCATATATTATACATAGGCGTATACGTTTGTGTCACCAAGTGGCTCGGATTAATGCGGCTTCTTTGTCAAAATGGATCAACCAGGGTTCTGAGTTCTGACATTCCAAAATTCAGTCTTGACGCGAGTCAATCACAATCATGGTCGATCATTCCAAACCCAACACTTGTCAAATCCTGCCTCACTTGCCTACAAGAAAAGAGCCTGGACTAGCACATATTTTTCTCCTGGGAAATTAAGTACTCACCATTCCAATTCCTTGCGGAGCCAGAAAGTAAAAGTTGTGAATCCATACAATGTCCGCCCAAAACAAGTGAAACAAAGATACAGCACCTGGGCGCAAATGAGCGTCGTAACCACCCAGAAATGGGCCAACTTGGGTCCTATGGCTCACATCAAGATCTGCGTAGCTCTGCAAACGTGCCAAAGATATGCCAGTTCCCCAACTAAGCACAAGTTCAACCTATGTCTACTCGGAAAACAACCAATCCCATGCCAACCGGAAAGCATCATTGGCCTGGCTAAGAGAGTGTGGCAGTGAGCCAAACGCCCCAAGTGCGGAAGACGACCAACACCCCAACCAAATGCGGAACAGACCTCTCCTTTCCGCACACTTTCCGCAAGCTGGGCTTCCTGCTCAAGCTCATGCTCCGCGAGTACGTCAAATGCCTGACAGTCAGCTCTTTGGCTCCATCTATTGACCCCACAGCCGTCCAATGCTCCTATTGTAGGCAAGTACTACCACCTGTCAAGGGGTTCCCAGGTTAATTGAGATTGGAACCCCGAACTTCCTCAGGGACAATTCCCAAACAGCAAGGGTAAAGGCCCCCATTCGACTCACCCTGACGTTGGGGCCTCGGGGGCAAACAAACGCGGTGGTGTGAACAAATTGGAGGTTGGGGGGTTGCGACCGTCTCACAGCATGTGAATCTAGTTGGCTGCCGATAAATTCACCAGCCTAAAATCTGGCTAGGCACCCAAGAGTCTAAGAGTGCATGCGAGGCTGCATGACTATTGAGTCAGGCACTTCGCTGGACTTGCAGCTTCAATTCGGCAACCTGACCAATATCCAGTCGAAGGTTGATGTACTTGTCCTTGCCCTCAAAACATGAGCCCACCCCATTGGAACCTCTCTTTGGATTAGCCCAAAAGGCTAGGCTTCCCATCAACAAATTCGCGCCTCTGCTAAACGAACCAACCAACGGCCTGACCATCCCGCATACGGTCAGTTCCTGTGAAGCGAATTGAGGCCTCACTCCTTGGACTTCCTGAAAACACACCAAGCCGACGAAGCGAGAATCTCTGCTCGACCTTCGAAGGGTCATTTTCAGAACGGCCCAGGACCTTGCACTGCAACCCAAGCGCCTTCTGGAGCGGTCCAAGTCACCCGGCACTGCCACCTGAGCACAGTTTGCTCCCATGAACAGTAAAGTGGTAACTTGGTGTCTTCCCAGGTCCATGTACAACAACTGGTGTCAATACGCGCTCTCGCGAGCATAAACCAGCTTAAATGTCGAAGAGACAAACTCCAATCAGACGGACTGTAAGAGGGTTTTGCACCTTTGTGCCGTCGGAAACAACTGCACTTGGCTGTCAAGTAAGGGATTCCCGCTACGGCCAGTAAGGAATTCCCGCTTGCCCTGGCCGAAATCCCCAAAACGGCTTGAGCAGGGCGTTACACCAGGGCCCCCAGCTGAACTGCTGAGCACCACCGGAGCATCCTGTCAGCTGCGCCATGGTGAATACAAAGTTCGGACAGCAGAACTGGGCCATGTTTGAGGACATTGTAGCACACACCCAACATGTGTTGACAAAGCGCTTGCATATGAAGAATGCCTAGAGTCAACAGTCATCTCTTTCACACTCAGCAGGAGAGCAATTGAACAGGTCGTGAAACAAAGCTCCTCCAACTTCGATCTGCGCAAAAGTGCAAACAAGCAACGGATCGTAATGCAAAGGAAGCCCTTCGCATGTCGCATGTGGAGGACTGTCAAACTGAGAAGTTTAGTCACCTATGGTTGTTGAAAAGACACAATAACACACATCGGTGTGTGTATATTATTTTGAGGGTACCCTTTTTGAGTCGGTTTGCAGGCAAAGCAAAAGGAACCCAACAAGGGGATTGGGTTGCCCTATAGGACCAAAAGAAAGGGACGGTTTCATTGACGGAGTCGACACGCGAATGCCCTTGACTCAAGAGCTATCTTTGCCCTCATGGCTCCGTTTCAGCTCGCTTCTCGAGAGGCTCCGCTCCTCGCGCCAGGTAAAACCGCAGACCCGCGGGGTCGCAGTCACCTCAAGCCGGAAGTGAGGCTTGAAGGATCTTCAAAATGGGCTGTTACCTTTACAGAAGCACCCCGAGGGTACCCCGACAAGACACGCCCAAGGATTGCCTGGACTCAGAGAAGGCCAATGAACAAGGTGTTCACAAGAGCCAGGAGGCTCGAATCAGTGAACCCGTTGACAAAGCCTCCACTGGGATGAGCCACTTTCACTCAATCTGAGGTGTCCAAATGCCCCACATCCTGAGGCTTGATTTTGACAACGAAAACTTGTCAAATAATTTGAATCAATCAATCCTGAACGCTTTACCGTAGGCAACATTGATAGAATCAATCCTGACTCCTGACGGGTCATATTTCTCCATCGGTCAACGTGAAGCATGCAGCTTTGGCGGATTGTGGTCTCCCAAAGCCACCTGGTTTCAGCCTTCCATAATGCCATGGGCCGGTCATGTCGAAGAACCATGTCGGAACATGCTGGATCTTGGACATGTTCTACCACATATTAAAGGCACACAGAAACCTGGGCTTGCTTTTATTTGTAATTGCATACATGGGTTGTGGGGCTTCGAAATATTCGGCTGGTTGCATGGATCGAGGACACATTCTGCTGTGTGTGTGTGTGCGCGTCTGGAAGGCTTCCCCGGCTACCGAACGGTACCTTGGTAAAGCGCTCATGGGTGCGCCGCTGCGCCCCTACAAGGTTCCTATTTTGTTTTTTCTCCACCTAGCCATCCTAGCCTTTTGCTGACGTCGTCAAGGGCGGCTAAGAACTACAGGCCCTTCTGGGAGGAATCCGTTTCATCAGGCCGGTGAGAAGGCGCCCGCTCAACAGGTGCTGCCCCAGAGTTGCTCGCGGGGTGTCCCGGCTCGGCAATTGACTCATTTTGACACGTCCAGTTCCGTTTACCAGAAGCGATTAAGCAGTTGAACTGATCCACTTGGATTAATCACATCATGGTGATGTGGCTGCTGTTCGAATCATCTAGAGTGGCTTGCCTGGCATTCGACATTCGCTCAAGGGCATTGACACCAGGCTGCTGCCTCCGTACCGCAAGCCCTGGCTTGGCGCTTGAATTCACAGGCGCTAAAACTTAGCTGAAACCCACTTGCTGACGCCTGCCAAGCATCTGGCTTAAAACCAATTACCCTCCCTACCTGTGGGAGGGTACCTGGAAGATCAATCTTCTCTTGTAGGGACCAATTCCCTGTCAGGTGCCATGTTAGTGGGAGGAACTTGACTAGGCGTGTCTGCCTACCTGTGAAACACCGCACGGCAGCCGAGATATTCGTAAACTCCGAGGCTGCGGCCGACATGCTACCTGACCCGGACCTGGAAAGGCAAGCCGGATGACAATCTCAAGTCTCTGTTTGTGTGTGTGTGTGTGTCTGCTTGCTTGTTTGCTTGTTTGCTTGTTGTTTGTTTGTTTGATTGATTGAGTGATTTTGGTTGATTGTTTGTTTGTTTGTTTGGTTGATTGATTGATTGATCGATTGATCGATCGATCGATTGATTGTGTGTTTGTCTGCTTGTTTGTTTGTTTGGTTGGTTGATTGATTGATTGATTGATTGATTGATTGATTGATTGATTGATTAATTGATTGTCTGCTTGTTTGTGTGATTGTTTGTTTGTTTGTTTGATTGTTTGATTGTTTGTTTGTTTGATTGATTGATCGATCGATCGATCGATCGAATGGTTGATTGATGGATTGATGGATTGATTGATTGATTGATTGATTGATTGATTGATTGATTGATTGATTGATTGATTGATTGATTGATTTATGTATTTGTGTTTGTGCGGTTGCTTGATTGTTTGTTTGTTTGTTTGTTTGTTTGTTTGACTGGTTGTTTGATTATGTGTGTGTTTGTTCGTGTTCGTGTTCGTGTTTGCGTATGGGTGGAGGGGGATGTTTGAAATCGGGACCTACATTACATGAGAACAACAAACTCACACCAGCAAGTCACTGAGGCAGGGAAACAACCAGAAAGATTGTTCAGTAGCTGAACTGCCTGGCGGGAAATCGGTACTGAGGGGGAAAACACCACCGGTTGCAATCCCAACGTGTACTTTCCGGAATAAGATGCCGTGCAGTTGTTTTGTTCTGTTGTCAGGATGACATAAGGTACACTTTCAAAATGACGGCTTGGAATGTGGCGGTTGCCCGCCAAACCCGAAGTCATGTTTACACAAACTGCAAATAACCTGGCTCGCCTACTGCCATCTTGGAATGGGCCTCTGTGCAACATAACTTTCCCTCCAGCCTCCATAAACAACTCGCAGCGAATGAAAGAAGGTCTCATGTGCTAGCAAAGCACGGTTTCGACACGTGAGGATCTCCTCCGCAATCTACAAGACTCAAGAACCCGAGTCCACCCCCAACTGCCAGCCAGCCAATGTAGGTCAGCAAATGACTCGTGACTCTTGTACTTTGTCCAACGCAGCACCTTCCCAAAAAGTCGGCGCTCGAAACAATCGACGATACAAACTAATGACAGCGTGCATTTCGTCCAAAGCCGCGAATATGTCACATGTCTCTCTCGATCTATGGGAATTCTCAAACAAGGCTCCGACTTCGACTTTTCGGCTGAGCTCCTGACGCCCACCAGCCTCAGCAATCGGAGGGTTAAAAAAAACACTTGGGGCGCCCCGCGATTTGCATTCAAGGGTGGCGACTTTGACAAACGATGTGGAATTCGGCCCTCTTGGGCATGCTTGATACCATGCATACACAATATCGCGTGTTGACGCGTTGAACTGAAGAATAGGGCGTGTCTGTTTGGTACCCCCAAAATTGTGGTTTTGCTCTTGGTCTCCCTTTAAAACCAACCAAAAAGGGTTCCTCACAAGAAAACTCACCCATATGCCGTAAGGCTTGCAACAAAGGCTTCTCCTGAGGTCCCCTTTTGCCTTCTCCGCCCAATTCCCCGCAGGAGGTATACCCAGCCACCTCGGGCTGAAGGAAAGGGACTTGCCCTTCGGCTGGCAGTTAGGGTTGCGGGTTACTTCGCCGAGTTCAATGAAATTGCCTCTTTCATACGATTGAAAATTCCCCAAATTGCCCAAGCAGGTTGAGGCAAGGTCCCACGTCATCTCTGTAGTTCCGCCCACCTGGCGTTGCAATCTTCGGCCATTGGGCTTGAACGCCGGCACGTGGATGCAAGTGCTGGGTAGTCCTACGGGTACACACTAACCAATTGGGCATGTGTCAAAATCGGTCAATAATAGTAGTTGTCCTTTTGGCTTCAGCCTAAACGGACCCCAAAAAGCCCGCGTGTGTGGTCTTCTGGGTTACCGCCTCTTAAACCCCCGGCTCCCCCCATACCCATGGCTACCAGCTAGCTAACTCACTCCTGAGGGGTCCCTCGTGCAAACCTCTGCTAGGCCACGGTTTAGAAAGCTATTCAGCAGGGAACAAAAGGGGCCCAGAACCACTCCACAGGCTGAGCATTGCTTGACATGAGTGCCAAGAGTAGTTGTGAAGTGTAGTTTGAACCTCGGGATTGAGTCTGTACATATCTTGGCTACTCAATTCGGGTCAACCATGGCATGCTCTTGGCAGACTTGCTGCAGCATCCGCGTATGATCAAGGCCCTCGTAATTGCAACTGGGAAACAAGAATGTTCCCTGTGTTCCGGCCAGTTTACGTGCAAATCGTACTTAAGAAGCCACCTGTACCATCTCAACCAACCCCAACTTTGCGCAATACATTGCTTGACCCCCCCTACCATAGAACTTGTCATGCTTGAAAAGGCAGGAACCCTTGTCGCACCCCAAAAAGCTCGGCACAGGCTCGCGGAGAAACAAGAACGCGACAAAATGGAGATTCCAAATCGTTGGATTGCTTCTTTTCCATCTCAACACATTCAATACCCGGGTGTGTCTTTTCTGAGGATGTCCTTGTCTTGTGGTTTTAGAGGAAACCCAACATGAAACCACGATTTTGCAGGGTCCCCTAAACAAAGAGACACCAATACAAACATGTTCAAAGCCGAGCTGTGACTCTTCAACTACCATTGATCTCGGCTGTGCGGCACCCCACCTCTGGGCAAACTGTGTCTCTCTTCGAGAAATTTCCCCATGGAATGGGCGTTCGTCTTTTTTCGGGTACCCTCCCACCAACTTACATGGAACCTAACAGGCCTGTAAAAGCAAAATGGTCTTCCAGGAGCCCCCTGTCAGGTTCCATGTTAATTGGTGGGAGGGCAAGGGGTCCAAATTGTGGAAGGCCGTCAAACACAGGAATCTCCTGGTTTCATCCCGGCAAGCAAGAATTGAAAAGGGGGTTCAGAACTTGTCAGGCTGGATTGGATTAAGCTCCATGTGGGATGGTTTCAAAAAGGCAACCAAGAGACCATCAAGAAAACATTTGGCAGGGTCAAACTGCATACCTTAAAACACAGCCGTATCTTTCGTGCATTCCGTAATGTGTTTTGGGGGGCTCTCAATGGGCCTCGGATTTCCTCAAATGATCCCTGCCTGGGGAGAGCGAGCCAGTCGTCCGGCAGGAGGTCACCTCACTTCGCACGCATGTTTGGAGCCACGTCCAAACTTTACTCACTTCCTGAGTGGATGGGCCAAAAAGAAACTGAACTTGTTATTTATTACTAAAATGGTGTTCCCAAAAAGCTAAACGTCCAGGAACTTGGGGACCGAGGTGAAAGGCTGAGAAGCCGAGTTGATTGATCATGCAGAAAAGCAGACGGAACTTGCTAGGCCTTTGGCAAAGAGTTAAATCACTTGCCGCTTGCCGCAAAGGCAAGTAAAAACATTGCGAATCGCACATCTCGCGGCGCCAAACAATGACCATGCATAGATTACCCCTCTACTACTTACAAGGACATTTAGAACGACTCCCATGTGTTTATCAAACAATGAATAGGGAACTTACATGAACTTACACATATTAATCATTCGCCACACTGTTTTCGGGCGGGGCATGCGCAAGTTGCCGCGTTGCGGCGAGCGAACGGGGCTGAATTCATGAAAGGTTGATGCGCTTTGCCTCCAGTCAACGCGCTTCTCAGTTGCCAAAATCACCCAGAAATACATGGTCCACCTTTTGGAGCCATGACAAAAAATGGACCAACATGGGGAAACCCAAAGGTCAAAGGTCGCATTTGGGCAAGCGAGCTTTTTCACGACGCTATCAGCAGGCTTATTTGCAGCGCATGGTTACCCCTTCGGTATCCTTGCCCCAGCAGCCCGGCTGCCCGAAAGGAGGACTTTTTTGATATCCTTGATCTCGATCTCCGGAAGCAACAGAAAACTTTGATGACAGACAAATGTAGATGTGGGCTGCTTGTTCCAAACAAACCTCGCCAGGTGGTTCTCGGACCATGCTTTCCTTCTGAATTCCTGCAACAAAAGCATCCAAAGCAAGGCCAGCCTAACAAACAAACCACCAGTCACAACCAGGGAGCAGCCAAAAGCTGTTTGCGCAGCGTCCCAAAGGGTGTCCAACTAGCTTTGAAACAGCATCATTTTTGTTCAGCTCATCTCAGGTTTCCCTTTGATACTTCAGTATTTCATCATACAACTTCAAGACTCAAGCCCTTAAATGGCAATCGTCTGGTTTCAGTCGCTTTGGGGCATCCAAAGATCGGCAGCAAAAGCTCTGCAGCTTTGACACAGTTCCACCCCTTTGACTGCGGCGCCCACCGCAAAAGCTGTGTGCCCGGCCATAGATGGTCCGCCTGCGAGGGCAGCGGTCCCTCTATGCCGCTTCCAGCGGAAATGCACGGGGTTTGTGCAAGGATTGACAAACCAGATACAAGCGCAAGGCAAAAAGTTAAACAATCCATGAAAGCCTCTGCTCAAATCTCAAGCCTTGGCGTTGACAAGCAGTTGCAGGCCCGGTCACAGCAAGCAAATCGCCCTGCTCATTCTGAAGCTTGGCTGTTCTTTTTTCTCGGCTGGGAAATCCTTTGTTTGTAGCAGCCCAAACAAGCCAAGACCCCAAGAATCAGCTACAGTACATGATACTTGCAATGAACCAAACTCTTGGGCATGGTCGTGGTTTCAATGGGAATCCTAACGGTGTAGATAGAACCCCTGTGCAATGGTCCGTAGCAACCCCTACCCCGGAAAACATTGTGGAGGCGGTGGTCTCAATAAATCCCGAGTAGAACGTCTGGTTATTGCCAAATCAAGCGTGCTGAGTTCTCAGCACTCAGTTCTTGCCCGCCCGCATCTGCCAAAAGTGTTTCTCATACCGCACTACCGCAATCAAGGCAAAAACAACCATCCCACTTTGCTTGTACTGCAACAGCTCACGCACTGCAGCGACGACTTGCCCAAGCACTCTGTTGGCATGGCCTTCTGCCCATGGCCCGAATGCAAGCAACCATCAAGCCTATCAAGCGCAAAAACCCTGGACCCCGAAGTGTACCCCTATTTCAGATTTCCCATTTGCCCCATAATTATGATAGAGTTATGATCTGTTTCGCTACTATCATTCCTCAAGCGCCATCTGCCCAGTCCGACTATGCTTCAGCGGTCCGTCTGTCGCAGTTCCGATTCCCACGCCTGCGAGCAAGCCCAGATGTGGCAAGGATCGGCCTGGCTGTGAGTCATGCACGTGGAGCCGTCTGAGAGAATGAATCAAACATGGGCTAACTTCAATGGAACTATGCACGGGATCTGCCAGCCCCCTGCTATTTGACTTCAGCCACTCAACAGGACCCAGCAGTCATAAGCAGTCGCACAAGTGTTGCTCACTTTCCTCTCGTCATCCGTGGCAACCCGGCTATCGCAGGCTTTCCAAAACGAGAGGGGATTGCTACAAACACCTACAAGTGCATCTCACACAAACCGATAGATCCACAGTGGCCACGGAGAACCCAGAGCTGCTGCCTGCCTGCTCTCCGGAACTGGAACATGTGGTTGGAACTCCACGCTTTGACATGGAACATGCAAAGAAACCATGAGGAGAAAATGTAGCGGGGGCCCTTTCTGGAGGTGTCTGCGATTCTTCTCCGGAAAGCCCATCTCTGGAAAATCGTCGGTTTCGCTGCTGCAGCATACACTACTTGGATTCACCTACTCGAGTTACAGGATTCTCAAGAAAAGCATCGCCACATCTCGGTATTCAAATGCGGCATTAAACTTGAGGGAGTTCCCATCCCAGGCATAGCGCGAGTGTGCCGCAGGGATACACTGGAGCATCGGGTTTGCGACGTCCATCCCGAAACGCTCAAACCGAGCCTCCGATGTGTGGAACTCTGGCTCTGGCCTTGGGCTAGATCGGCGTGAAGAGCTTTGCTTAAATGTGGTTGATGCAGTCGTAACGTTGACAATTCCACGGTGTGTGGGTGTGTGCGTGTCTGCATGTGCCTTTCTCCCCTTGTGTAACTGGGTGTAGCTGTAACTGTGTCTAACTGTGTCTAGCTGTGTGTAACTGTGTGTAACTGTGTGAACCGTGTGCAACTTGTTTTAACTGTGTGTAACAGTGTGTAACAGTGTGTAACCGCCTGTAACTGTGTCTCTCTGTGTGTCTGGGTGTGTGTGTCTGTGTCTGTGTCTGTGTCTGTGTCTGTGTCTGTGTCTGTGTCTGTGTCTGTGTCTGTGTCTGTGTCTGTGTCTGTGTCTGTGTCTGTGTCTGTGTCTGTGTCTGTGTCTGTGTCTGTGTCTGTCTCTGTGTGTCTCTGCACGCTTGTCTGTGTCTGTGTGTCTGTGCGTCTGTGTGTGCCTCTGAGTGTGTTTGCGTGTGTTTGTATGTGTGTATCTGTCTCTGTGTGTTTGTCTATTGGTCTGTCTGGCCGATTGTGTCTGTCTGTCTCTGCCTCTGTCTCTGTCTGTGTCTCTGCGTGTGTGTGTGTGTGTGCGTCAGTGTGCGTTGTACTGATGTTGCGCTGCGCGGTGTTGTGTTGTGGTTTATGTTTGCTGGCTAGTTCCTTTGGTTTGCTCGTTTGTTCGTTCCTTCGTCCGTCAGTAAATTCCGTCCAATCGATGGTGGGTTTGTTCGGCTGGTTGGCTGGTTGGTTGGTTGGTTGGTTGGCTGGTTGGTTGGCTGGCTGGTTGTTGAATTGTTTTTGTTTGGTGTGGCCTGGCTTGGTTGGCGCGTGAGCTCTCATGATTGTAATTGTACGTTTGCTACATGCGCCAGAGCTGCATATTGATTCATTGATTGCCGTGCTGCACAAGGCACAAGCTGCCGAAATATATCTGAATGGTTTGAACATCTCGGCGCAACACTTTGCATGGTACTCACAAGTCCATGCGCCAGACTTAGCACAAGTTCTCAGTTGTGCAACATTGGACCCCTAATTGCGCTTGCTTCCTGGGTCCTTCCACGCTACTTTTTGGCCATGGCAACTCAAAAATTGAAACACCAGACCCACGACGCCAGCGCACGCATGCGCACAGGCACATGTAGACCACAAAAGCACACTCAGCTGCAAGTGCGTGCAGAGGCACCGCAGACAAACAGGCACATGCAAATGCAAGGGCACACACACAAGCCCAAAAACACACATACAGAGACACACACAGACACACACACAGACACACACACAGACACACACACAGACACAGACACAGACACAGACACACACAGACACACAGACACAGACACAGACACAGACACAGACACAGACACAGACACAGACACAGACACGGACACAGACACACACACACACACACACCCACCCACCCACCCACACACCCACACACCCACACACCCACACACCCACACACCCGCACACCAACACACCAACACACCAACACACCAACACACCAACACACCAACACACCCACACACCCACACACACCCACACACCCACACACCCACACACCCACACACCCACACACCCACACACCCGCACACCAACACACCAACACACCAACACACCAACACACCAACACACCAACACACCCACACACCAACACACCAACACACCAACACACCAACACACCAACACGCCAACACACCAACACACCAACACACCAGCACACCAACACACCAACACACCCACACATCCACACATCCAGACAAATTCAATATTACACAGAAGCAAGTAGCTCACACAGCCCGCCCATTCACAAATGACACGTCAAAACAATATTGGACTCAGTTCTTTGAATGCGCAAGTGGATGCCCATACATGCAAGCAAGGCACAGATGTAGGGCTGACCTGGCACGGGGTGCTGGTCTCAATGTAATGAGCCAGCAATCCTCGAGTTCCTTGCCCCCCATGGAACAGACGGGTGTTTCTCAAAAAAGGGGACCCCTATCTAGATGGGTTTCCAAGGGAAACCAAGAGGAACCAGGTCCGCTATTTTGGAGAAACTGCCAAATGAGCACTCCTAACAAGCATCCACCCTATCTGTGGCCGGGTCTATAGTTGCTCAGCCTCCACAAAACACATGGGCACCCGTTTGCGAGTCGTTTGTGGGGAGCCTGAAGAAAGGCTGGCTCAAGAAAGGAGTTGTAGCAGAGGCTGCAAACCGTGAGATCATTTCCTCGCCAAAGGTGCACACTCAAGGGGTGCGACGCCCTGAGAATGAGGCCAGGAGCTTGGGCCGATTTCGCTGGCTGGGCCTTACAGACGGCCCAGAAAAAAAGAAAGAACAGATGCAGCCATGACAATCACCGTCTTCCCCTACCTTGGCGCTTTTCGGACGGGAGCCACCACGACCCCATCCCATCCCTCGGTTTCGAGCCAACAAGTAGCCACAAGGCAGCACCTAGCCACTATGCACCCCTCGGCTTTCGCCGTCGCCCAATATGGGAGAAGGATGTAAACCCCCTCATTTGACCCCAATGTGTACTCAAAGCGTCAGCATGACATGGACAGGGATCCGAGCGCGAAAACCCCATTGACTTGTGAGCTAGGATCATCAGTGTTTGGCTGTCAGCCCTTGCCGCGCTATGACCACTGGAGGACGAACCCAACATTCGGCCAAACGCCCGTTTCAACGCGTTTCATCTAGTGGGGTAAAATCCGGATTTGATCTTGTCCACTTTCACCCGGAATTCCGGCATGGTTGCGTTCAAATCAATCTTGAACCGCCCTCATCACACAAACCCAAATTTAAGCCAATTGGATATGGGTGTGGGTCACAAAAAGGTACCCAAAATGAACGCCGGGCAAATGGAAAAATGAACTGAACCCTGCAGTCCCTGGTGGCTTTATTTTGACCCATACCCTTGGTTGCTGTTGACCCCCCTGCAAAAGTTTAACTTTTTGGGGGTTTGGTGGAAAACACCATCATTTCCCAAAAAGTTAAAGTCTAAAGATCCAACCCAATAGCAGTCGAGTACCCATATCCATCGGGCCCAGCAGAGACGAGTCCATCGCCTGGCCAGGCGTGAAGCTCGCAGACGCCGTCAGCGCCTGGCAAGCTGAATATCCCGAAGCGGGCGTCAGAGGTGCCTCACGTTAACTCGTCCAGCCCGTCTTGGGATGGTAGGCGTTTCTTGGCCAAAGGACCCAGAAATGAAAGGCAGACTAGACAATCTTGGTAACCTTGACGAAAAATTATGGCCAAACGCAAACAGAAACAAATTGGCTTGGATTGGGAAAGGGGAGACTTGGTGGTCCCCTTGATCCAGTTGGTTGGGCATGAGCGCCTGGACCGCAATTCGGTGAACTCCAATCTGAACTCGGGCGCACCTTCGTGCACCCGGGCACAAGTTCAACAAGAGTCCAGTTTTAATTCGTTACACAAACAACGGACAAAAAACGATTCACGCGCAAGCTCGATCACTTTATAAAACCATTGAAGCAAAAAGTCGTTGGTGCGCATGAGGCAAACAAGGGTGGCTTCAGCATAAGTTCCCTGGCAAATGTGCGGAAGCTAAACTGAATCCAAGCGCAATGCCCAAAGGGTTGAGGTGTTTTGTTTTTACTAGCCCCGGCTTTTTACTAGCCCCGGCTCGGCACAAGGCCTCCCTCCAAAGAAGTTGGGCTGGGGGATCGCCAGCATTACCGGTTTCTTGTCACGGATATTGATGCTCGGGATAGCCGGCCGCATCGCCAGCATTACTGGCCTCACTCGCTATTGGCTTGGATTTGGTGGCAGTTCAGGGTTGATCGGGGCTGGTTTGGGGTGAGTATTAATGCGGGTCTTGGGTTTGTTTGGGGTTCATTTAGCCCCGGCAAAGGGCCGATGTGCAAGATGCGGTTGGGAGGGTTTCAGGTTGACTTTGGGTCGGTTTTGGCTTGGTTGGGGCTGATTCGTGCTAGATGTGCGGCTGGTTTAGCCGTGGCTTTCGGGTTGCTTCAGGGATGTGGCTGCAAGTTTTGGGCTAGGATTGGTGGTGTGGGGCAACGCCACATCCCTGAAGCAACCCGAAAGCCACGGCTAAACCAGCCGCACATCTAGCACGAATCAGCCCCAACCAAGCCAAAACCGACCCAAAGTCAACCTGAAACCCTCCCAACCGCATCCTGCATATCGGCCCTTTGCCGAGGCTAAATGAACCCCAAACAAACCCAAGACCCGCATTAATATCCCAGCAAGCCCAACACTCACCCCAAACCAGCCCCGATCAACCCTGAACTGCCACCAAATCCAAGCCAATAGGCAGCTCTCGTCCGAGTGAGGCCAGTAATGCTGGCGATGCGGCCGGCTATCCCAAGCATCAAGTCATGCCCCATACGCAGCCGTGACAAGAAACCGGTACTGCTGGGGATGCTGGGGATGCGGCCGCCCAGCTGACCAACCAAGCAACCAAGCAACCAAGCAACCAAGCAACCAAGCAACCAAGCAACCAACCAACCAACCAACCAACCAACGAACCAGTCTCCGAGCCGGGGTTCAGCCCCGAGCCGGGGCTAGTAAAACTAGACACCGATTATCCCGAAAGCGTGCATGAGAAAGGTGATGCAATAATGTTGGGGTATATCTATGATATTATGTATATACACTGCTTCTCTCTCTCTCTCTTTATCTTTATCTCTTTCTCTCTTTCTCTCTTTTTCTCTTTCTCTTTCTCTTTCTCTTTCTCTCTCTCTTTCTCTCTTTCTCTCTCTCTCTCTCTCTCTTTTTCTCTGTATCTTTCTCTCTCTTTCTCTCTCTCTCTCTGTCTCTCTCGTGTTCCTCTCTCTCTCTCTCTTTTTGTTCTCTCTCTCTCTCTCTCTTTCTCTCTCTCTCTCTCTCTGTCTCTGTCTCTGTCTCTGTCTCTCTTTCTCTTTCTATTTCTCTTTCTTTTTCTCTTTCTATTTCTCTTTCTCTCTCTCTCTTTCTCTTTCTCTCTTTCTCTCTTTCTCTCTTTCTCTCTCTCTCTCTTTCTCTCTTTCTCTCTTTCTCTCTGTTTCTCTCTCTTTCTCTCTCTTTCTCTCTCTTTCTCTCTCTTTCTCTCTCTTTCTCTCTCTTTCTCTCTCTTTCTCTCTCTCTTTCTCTGTCTTTCTCTGTCTTTCTCTCTCCCTCTCTCCCTCTCTCTCCCTCTCTCTCCCTCTCTCTCCCTCTCTCTCCCTCTCTCTCCCTCTCTCTCCCTCTCTCTCCCTCTCTCTCCCTGTCTCTCCCTCTCTCTCCCTCTCTCTCCCTCTCGCTCTCTCTCTCTCTCTCTCTCTCTCTCTCTCCCTCTCTCTCTCTCTCTCTCTGGCTGCGTAAGTCAGACTGCGTAAGTCAGGCTGCGTAAGTCAGACTGCGTAAGTCAGGCTGCGTAAGTCAGGCTGCGTAAGTCAGGCTGCGTGAGTCAGGCTGCGTAGGTCAGGCTGCGTAAGTCAGCTTGAGTAAGTCCCGCTGCGTAATAAGGCTGCTTAAGTCAGGCTGTGTAGTCGGCAACCGTTTTTTCCAAAGAACCCTTCGCGATGCTTTCGGGGAAAAAAACACCGGTTACATGCCGAAAGGCCATGCCAAGAAAGGTAATTTAGAGGAGCTCTGACCTTTTGTGATATCGGAGCAACTTTCTGCATTTATTCCTGGCATCCAAAACAACAATTCGCAACCGGCCCCAGTCAGTTCCATCAAGCAGCCACTTGCATTGCGTTGAAAAGCCCGATCCCAGGTTCCCGCTTGATCAAGCCAGCTGTGCAAAACATTTAGCACTTGCTTTGTTGCGGTGACCTTCCTCTTGCTCTTGCCCTCAGACTTGGCGAAGCAGTGCCCGGCACATAGTCCGGATCGCGAATCCCAACCAAGCAACACTGCAAGCAAGACAGCAAGCCAGGCAATAACCAAGGAACACAAGCAACGACACAAACAAAGAAACAACAAAACAAACTAACAAGAAACAACGTAACAAACAAGCGATTAGGACGAACGCAAGCTAGCCAGCCAGCCAGCCAGCCAGCAAGTGAAATGAAATCGGATCCAAACAAGTCAGCAAACCAAACCGGTACGAAACACAGCGACACAAAACGAAGCAAACCACGCATGCAAGCAAAACAGGCAAACAGGCAGGCAAGCAGACAGACAAGCAGAGAAACAAACTAAACACGGCAAGCCAAAAAACAACAACAAAGCACACACACACACACACCCAAGCGCAAAGAAACAAACCAACCAACCAGCAAAGACGTCCAAGCAACACAAACCAACCCAAACACACGCAACACCATCCATGAGCCAAGCAAATGGCCATGGGTCAAAATCCCGTACCCCCAGTGAACATCCCAATCTCCACTAAAATAGGTTCTAAAATCGGTGGTGCGCCTACCCCAAAATTGGATCCCGCTGGCTTTGACAACCACAGCCAAATAACAAGTTACGCGAGGTGCCGCTCGGCTGGCCTCCGGGCTGCGAGACCTGAAGTAACGGACCGTCGCGCGGAAAAGCTTCAACATAGGCAAACATCCAGCGCTAAAGACAACAATAGTGTACATGATACTTCAAGTATCACTCATTAAAATATGAAACTACAAGCATCCATCTATATATATATATATATATTGTTATATATTTATATGTACAAGCCCCAAACAAATACATGATTTCAGTCAGTTGTCGCGCGTCAAGACTCGCAACCCTTCTCTCCCTTTGTCAATAGAAAACGACACATGGCTGTTGCATGCTTGCGGTTTCTCATTTCAGCATGTCACAAACACACAGAGACACGTACTCGCGCGCGAGCGTTGGGACCTGCGCTGCGAGGACCCGTTTGAGGCTCAATGTCAGCTTTCTGTGCTGTATCGTTGGCCGCAAGCGAGGACCCCAGGACCAAAGAATTGTAAATCATAAGAATCCCTTTGCATTGCATAACTCCATGATTATTGATATACGTTTAGGCGTATATGTCTAGTCCACAATCATTCGCACCATGCGTCTGGACCATAGTTCTTCTACATAAGCCCTGTTTGGCCCTTGGGAGCTTTTGCAAAACCCAAAGGCAATTGTTAGGCAACGCCAAAAAAGGGGGGTGGGATCTGCGCTGGTCAGCAGGAAAGCGGCCATTTTCTGACAAGGGGTAGCCACCTTGAATGCCGCTGGAAAAGCACTGGCTCAATGCAGCTAAGAGGCCGAGGCGTCTCTGCCTGAGTCACATTGCCGAATTCCTGGAAAAAGCAGCGGAACGGTTCCTCCCTGCTCGCGGCATCTTTTTTTGATTGGGAGCTTTCTCAACCTCATAAACCCTAGCACAAGCGCTAGTTGCCCTCTCTGCAGCTCCCTTTAGACCAGTTAGCCAAACGAAGCTTTCAAGCACTGAGGCAGCAGCAGGCACAAAGCTTGGCTGCGATGGCTGCGATGCCGTTGACGTCTTGGCCTCGCAAAGGTGTTAAAAGCTGTCATCTCAATAGTGATTACCCTCCCCCACCCCAGACTAACATGGAAGCTCCCAGTACCCCTTTGGAAGACGTGGTGCCATTTACGGAGGCCGTCTGGGAGCTTCCATGTTAGGCTGAGGGAGTGTACAGCATCATTATTGAAATGACAGCTTTCAAGAACTTCGACAAAATGCTCTCCACCCGCTATGACTTCGTATCGCGCCCTGAAAACTCCGCCTCTCTTTGGACCATCCCCAGGCGACTTCCCATGAGATGACCCTGGCCTCCGCAACAGCGCCTGCTTCCAACGGAGCTGCCTGAGAACAACGAGCTTTCCAAAGGGTTGCCCTACTAACCTTCAAGTGCATGCGGTTTACTATTTTCTGAAAAGATATCGAGTTTCGGGCTGCACAACAACAGATTTAGACACAGTGTTTTCTCAAGAAGCAACATTGCACAAGCTTGGTTACTCATCTTTGGATAGGAATGCATCGGAACTAGAAGCCCATTCCTCCAACTGGCTGCTGTACTTTGGATATCCTTGAAAACCACCGTCACAAAATGGGGAAGAGCTTTTTTTGGACTGATGCTTTCCTTTACCAAGCTCACATGATGACCAGCGCGAGGATTCGATTGGTACAAACAAGAATCTGCAAGCCTTCTTGTTCAGGTGCCAGCGAGCGCACAGTGGTCACAGACGCGGGTGATGTCCGTGAATGCGCGTAAACGCGATGCGCACGAGCATGATGCACATGAATGTGAAAGCAAATGTGCATGCCATCATACACACAGCGGTCAAAGATGCATGTCTGTGCAAGCGTGGATACAAAAGTCGAAATCTGCGTGAACAGGAACAACACGGAATCACCTTACTCAGATTGGAGAAAGTATTGAATTCACCGCCGCCGTCTATGCGCAGTGGTTCTGCTACTTATCGTAGCTGTTGTCTTGCTGTTGCTGGTCAGATGTGGCGTGGCATGTGTTTGACATTCCATCTGGGCGCCTGCGCGCTTGGGTGTCATCGTGTGTGGTCACGCTGCCATGATTGCTATTTGTTTATCGTTCCCGTGAAACAGCTCGCCCTTTGCAAATCCCGTTAAATACTGAATTGCTCCGATGAACCCAGCGCAAGCGCACAAGCCTTTATTTTGGCAACCAGCCATGACCTCCTTTTGATAGGACAAAAGGAGTTGCCCCTACAGATGTGTTTTTGGGTTCCATATGGTTCCATGTTCATCTGTAGGTGAGTATACTCCAAACTTCGGTTCCCATCGCTAACTTGCATGTGCGAGTATCCCTTCCCAATTCCAATTTTTGAGGTGGGGCTGCTTACCCTCCCTCCACTCCAATCATGGAAGCTGGCAATCCGAGGGTTTTACAAGACTCCCATTGACGGGAAGAGGATCAGTGCTGTTCAGTTTGGCCGTCCGTGCAGCCCGGCCAGGCGCGACTGGGCATGCAGGTGCTGGGAGTGCTGGGACCGGCGGCGCTTCATCTCGTCACGGAGGCCTACGAATTGCTGCCAGCCCATGACCAAGGCTAGGACCCATCTCGAGGGTCAAACCAAGGGTTCGTGCCAAAGGTTCAAGGAGTCCCTCGCTTGCCACGGGTTCACGTCAAGCACCAAAGGTTCGTGTCATAAGGGACGATACCGGGGACTCAGATTAATGATTCACGGATGTAGTTAGTGCAAGAGGTCCAACAACTCCTGTGAAGCGGTGGACATGGATGGGCAGTACAACATGTTCGTATTGAGGCCCTGTTCAACAAATATACCGTACCCCACTTTTGATAGGAGCCCCTCACTCGCAATTCACCTATAACTACCAGAACAAGAACATGCGATGAACAATCAACTGGCCGTGCTGTGCTGGCTGCATCTGAGCCACACGCGCTTCTCCTGCTCAAAGAGGTAGTAACACCATGAATGGCGTGAATCTTCGTTGATGCCACTACACCGCGAGATGCAATGTGCTTCCTCTCACTCCTGATCATGGTCTGGGAGACACAGGGTGATTCCTCCTCTTGGCTTTGCGCCTGCGCTGCCATTTGCGGAAGTTGACAAACCAATGACAGTGCAAGGAAGGGTCCCGCAATTGATCTCAGCCCGCACTCTTGTGGCTTACTCGTATGTACCACGATGCTGTTGAATATTCCCCTGTGTTATCACCCTTAAATCACTCAAGCTTCTAAACCAAACTAAGCAAAAGCAACTACCTTCTTAACCCCACCTAGACCAACCTTAAACAGTGGGCAAATGGCAAGCTGGGACCCTTCCCATCGCTGCCCGCCTTCGAACCTCGCGTGCAAAGTTGGCCCGGCCTGCCATGTCCAAAACACACTGGCAGTGATGGACGCACGCCCCTCTTCCCCAAGAACACCCAAGCCAACAAAAGCCGACGTAAGACAAGTGACAAAACAAGCAAACAGGGTGGCTGAACAAAACCTACGACCAAAACAAAGTTCAATTATTACAGTTGCAGCTCAGCAGAGTAGCAAGGCCTGAAAGGGAGCGCGTGTCGTTTCAGGTGGAATGAAGGGTCACACTGACGGCAGAAAGAAAGGAACTTCTAGTTTGCAGACTGGGAGCTGAGTATCCTTACCCGCTGCATTTGCCGTACTTGGCCTTGTGCAAAGGCTTACCCTCGACAAGCTTTAGTCGCCAAATGGTTTTTCGTTTGCAACAAGCAAAGCTGCAACCTATTCAGAGATGTCAGGCAATTTGATCGGTGACGGGCTTGAAAACTCTCACTTGTAATTGATTTGCTTTGGACGGAGTGGCTGGCTGCTCCAATGGTTCCAGTTGGTCTCCCCAAAAGAAGATCAGGCTGGTCGATCCGGAAAATACAGCAGTACTTCCCTAGACCAAAACCAATTCGGCTCGTTTTGGTCCAAAGACAATTGGGCTCGTTTTGGTTGATGGTTTCAATAGGAGACCAAAAAACACCAACACGCCATGTCAGGACAAGCTCGTTTGCCCAGCCTGAGGTCCGGCTGGCTGACAGGGTGTCGGCCTAGGCGTGTTTGCGGCAAGGGACCGTTTGACAAGTGGCCCGTGGGCCAAATGGGTTTGCCTCTACATAGGGAACCCCGAAAACTGCACAGGTGTCCTATTAGTGTCATGTCCAAATTTGCCAAACCATCCAAAAAGAGTACCTTACACGAATGAAACACCCGCATGTTGCTCAGCTTGGAAGGTCGGGACTTTATCCGAATGAGCCATCAACAGGTTGCAAAGCCCAAAGTCAGCCAGCCATTTGGTGATGCTCAGAACGACGAGCCCTTTTTTGTCTTTTACAGAGTCTTGAGCATCCCAAGGCCCACCCTTCACTATGAGATATCACAAGGCCGACCCAATGGTCATCACGATCGTTCTACCAACCAAGGTGACTAAGTGAAACTGCGGCCTTAACCATTATAGATGTACTAAAGGCCGTGCCAGCAACATGAAGAACATGTGTGGGAATGCGTCCTTCGAACAGGCTTGCAAACCGCCATCCTGCCTCAAAGCAAACTCAGTAAAATTGAGCCCAGGACGGGAGATGACAAACTCTGGACAAAGGCGACACGCGATTCTTCTTCTTACTCACTCCAAACACAAACATGATTCTTGCATGAAGAGGGGAAACCAATATGAAACCAACCAGCAGGTGTCCAGCCAAATTGGACACGCTCCAGCTGGGTAACCAACATAAGCCAGGGTTGGAAGTAGCTGCCACAATTCCTTGTGGGTGAGTAAACGGAATTTCCATGGGTCAAAACCCCGTACCCCCAGTGAACATCCCAATCCCCACTAAAATAGGTTCTAAAATGGGTGGTGCACCTACCTCTAAAATGGTACCATTGGTGTTGACCGGCCGTATGACTAAACCAAACCCGGGGCTTGGAATTGCGGCGTTCCAGATTTGGACCCTCCAGGGCGCACCTGGGGGCCTCCTGCGCCGCCGGCGTGGCCTGGGGAAGAACAACCCTGGAAACCAGAAGGGAATGAAACTAGTTCTATATATAAACTATGAAACTCCAACTTTACCAAACTATACAACATATATAACAATGTTCAAACTCCAACTTTTAGATTATATGACTATGACCGTTTGAAAAACCTAGTAAACAAGTTGGAGTCGCCAATTTACCAAGTAACATGCGCTTCACCGGTTCTGCGAAAGACCTCAATATTCGGAGCCGATCGCACTGGGCCCTCAAAAGGGTGATCCCTACAAGAGGGTTCCCGCATGTTTGGGATTAATTTTCTGTTTGGGGGAACGGTGGGCGAAGGTTAGGTTGTCTGTTGCCCTCTCCACGAAGGCTCGAGATGATCAACGAAACATGCGCGAGTTAAAGGGATAAATAACGGATATCCAAAGCTAGCAAATCGGTGAAGCTTGCCAAAAGGAAACCCAGCCCTGTTCGGGACGTCCAGCAAAGGTGATGTTACGCCATGCGTTTCTTGGGCTCCTTGTGGAACTCGGAAACCCGAGAGACCTCGCGTGAAAACCCCCCGCTTTGACGTTCTCCCTTGGGGGCTTCCTAGGTAATTGGCGCATGAACTCAAGACCAGACAAAAGGAGGCTCACACATCTTCAGTGACTTCACAGCCACCCTGCCCTGCCTGGTTAAACTGCAAGGTTGCTATGGCGCATGTTCGGAGCCTCTTCGAACCTTGAGACATCAGCACCCGCCTGCGGTTCCGGATCCTTCACGGCCTGCGGCTCCTTGGTAAGCAACGGGTATAAATCAAAGACACGTAGCAACAGAGACACACACACAATCTCCTGCGCCAAAACTTGCTTACACGTACACGCTTACACCGACAAACTTACAGACACGGACAGACACACAGGCACACAGGCACAAAAGAAACAGACACACAAACACACGCACATAAACATACACATGCGCACTTGCACGCACATGCAGACACGACGCACATGTATGATGTGCAAAAACAGAGACACAAACAAGAACACCGATACAAACGCAGTTGCGCACACGAACACACGCACACACACAGACAGGCAGACAGACAGACAGACAGACAGACAGACAGACAGACAGACAGACAGACAAACAGCCAGCCAGTCAGCCAGCCAGCCAGACAGACAGACAGACAGACAGACAGACAGACAGACAGACAGCCAGCCAGCCAGCCAGCCAGACAGACAGACAGACAGACAGACAGACAAACACACAGACACACACACGTGCACGTGCACGTGCGCGTGCACGTGCACGTGCGTGCGTGTGTGCGTGCGTGCGTGAGTGCACACACACACCCACACCAACACACACACACACACCAACACACGCACACGCACGCACACACGCACGCACGCACACACACAAACACACGCACACACGCGCGCGCACACGCGCACATGCGCACGCGCGCAATCGCACACACAAACACACAACCCAGAAACACAAACACACAAACACACAAACAAACAAACAAACAAACAAACAAACAAACAAACAAACAAACAAACCAAAAAAACAAAAAACAAACCCACAAGCACACAAGCACACACACGCACAAACACACACAATCACACAAGCACACACGCACACAAGCACACAAGCACACAAACGCACACACACACAAACACAAAAGCACACAAACCAAACATCCAAGCACGCAAACATGAAAAACGCAAACAAGCAAGCACATAAACACACAAGCACACAAGCACACAAACACCCAAGCTGGCACGCACACAAGCACACAAACAAACAAACACACAAACACACAAGCGCACAAACACAAAAATACACACAAACACGCAAACACCCAAACACGTTTGCGCGCAAACACGCAAACACACAAACACATAAACACAAACAAACACAAACACACGCGCACACCAATGCACACACCCACGCGCACACGCACACGCGCACGCTAGCCCGCACGCACGCGTACACTTTCACGCACCTACGTAGACCTACGCGCTCTTTCGCATGCGCGCACTCACACACTCGCGCGCGCCCACTCAGACACGCACTTACGTACTCTTGCGCCACTATAGCCCCAAGTATGCACACTTGCGCACGCATGCGAACAAGACCCCCGCACACCTGGGCGTTCAGTTGTCAAGTTCTTTGGTGGGCGTTTGCAAAAAACAAGCGGTGACATGTTTGTGGCCAAAACGTGACATTGGTCAGTTTTCTGCGCTATCGTTTTCAGCGGCTCCTTCATCAAAGGTAGTCGAGCTTGGCGTTGCGGTCTGTAGGCAAAAACCGTACGCGCTTGCGAAGTTCTCTTTTGCCCGGTCGGTCTGCTCCATGTACCACAGTCCGGTCTGTCGTTCAGCTGAGCCATCAGATGCCCATGTTTTTCCTGGTTCCACAGCTCGTTTGCGTTCTGACTACGTTTTCCTTCTGCTGTTGTCCATGTAGATGACCCGGGTTCAACTGCGGAGTTGCCGCCCATCGGGTGGTGACGACAGTTCCTTGGTGGGATGCTGCGCATTTGCACAGCAAAGGACGATGTTGATCGGTGGCCGGAGTGGCATAGTCAGAAGCTAAGGAGCAGTCCAGGGCTGCCATCAGTGAATCAGAGAGTCCACGCATGCAGATCCACCACCAAAAACAGGCTGAAGGTGAGGTGGTGTTGTTTGTCACTTTCTTGGTCCTGTTGTGGCAAGTTGCCAAACGCTGTTTGGATCTGAGCTTCAGGATCCATTGCGGTGGCTTGCTCAAACGCCGCTCCAGTTTTGGTGTAATTATTCCTTCCGTTGTGCCATAACTTCTCTACAAAGACCTCATTAGCCAGATCGATCCATATTGGGCCGCGGTTGCCCTTCAAGCGCCACTCAGACTTCAAGCACCTCGGGAAGCTTGCACACCGCCCGGTGCACCCGACGAACTCCGGGCGAAAAGATGTCGATCCTCCTGCGTGAGCGCGACGGCTGGCCGATGAGTTGGGGAGCGTTGTTGTTTCTGCGCCTCGCGCTTTGAGAGCTTCTCTGTTGAGCTCAAAATCGCAGGCAGCAGGCTGAAAGATGTCACTGGCTGTGCAAACAGGCGAGCGCTGGCGAGTGGCCGGCCGCTGCAAATGACCAGCTGCGGCATGAGGGCCCGCA